ACGGCTTTTTTCGTTGTGAAACGTGATCCATACTAGTATTCCAAAGGTCGTAGGTTCGATTCCCACCGTGGCCAGGTATATTTTCAAGCCTTCCCGGTGTGGATATATATACACTCAGAGTAACATCACACAAGCATCTTATTCACCTGAGTACATTTCACCAACACAGCAAATATCATGAATGTTTAGCATTTTTAAATACAATGATCGGACCTAGCCTCCTCCGCAGGCACCTTGTAGTTCACATACTTCAGAATTTTTTGCCTGCAAGAAATTTTGCCCGATAATTGAAAGGCGATGCCTGCGGAGGAGGCTAGATCGGACCATCTGACATTTGCCACTTACATTTGGCATCTTTAGACTTTAGTTTGCAACCCTAGCATTCAAATGATGTAATTTCACCATCGTTAAAATTTTTGTCCGACCGTAAACACTCTTGTCCGATGGATCCGATCGATCGGACCATCTGACATTTGCCACTTACATTGTGGCATAGCCTCCTGCCTTCAGAGAGAGTTCAAAGAGAGCCTGTTCGCAGGTACTCCTGCCCAGGCTCTTTACTTCGCAACCCTGGCATTCAAATGACGTCATTTCACCATCGGTAAACGTTTTGTGCATGTCCTTCTCATACATCATTAGATATTCATAGCATTTCGGCTAGGGGTGCACCGGATTTCAAATCCGGCCGGAATTCCGGCCGGATTTAACAAATTTTCCGGCATCCGGCTTCCGGCCGGATTTGGAGAAAATCCGGCCGGATTTAAATTTCTGTTTTCAGCTTAAAAAATTCACCAAGAATGGGATAAACCATCAATTTGGCAGCTTTAAAGCTTAAAAACCCTCGTATTATTATAAAATATTAAGTTATTAACAAAAAGATATTTAAAAAAGGTTTAAACACAATCAAAAATCTAAACTGACACTAACTAAAAATAGTAAAAAACATAAACTGCCATTTTGAATACTGATTTATCCCCAATTGTCGCCATTACCGGTGTATCTCAAATCCGGCAAATCCGGCCGGAATTTTTGTCCAAATCTGGTTCCGGCCGGATTTGAAAATTCCAAATCCGGTGCACCCCTAATTTCGGCCAATGACATGGTTTAATTTGCATCATGTGTATCTATCTGGATATATCCCGTCTAGGCCAGGACTTTAATTACTTCAAGTGGGAAGGGCTTTGAACAATAGGGAAATTGAGGGGTAAACAAAGATTATGCAAATATATTTAATTGCTATGTTTAGAATTATTTCTAAATACAGTAAGTTGTATTTAGAAATTTATTCTAACTACACTTTATAGCTAACACTATTCCTGAACGTTTGAAAACTACATAAACTACAACTTGCCAGTTTGAAAACTACAACTTACCAGTAATGTTTACCGTCTGTAAAATATATATTCACTTCGGCTCTTTCATTTTCCACCAGATAGCGCCTTATCACACACACAATCTGATATATCGTTTTTCGGATCCCCAACCTTGTCAGCCGAGCGACAATACTGTGCTCAACACTTTCTGGTTCTCGAAACCGCTTTTTCTTATATTATAAGAAGATACCATGCTCTTTTGCCAACAAAATTAATCTATTCATGATGAAAGCGAACTGAATGCTTCGTTGCACTTCATGCAAACTTTTCATTGCTATGAAAGTCTAATGATGTGTGAGAAGCAATTTCAAATCCTCGTTAGTGTTTTAAACTTGGCTTCCAAATCCCCAGTGCCATGAACAATGGGTCGGCTGCGCCTCGCCATTGTTCATGGCACTTGTATTTAGAAACCACGTCTAAAACACTAACTCGGATTTGAAATATTAGTTCCAACATGCACACAAAAAACATTTCGAAAATATAACGGTCCGACCTATATGTCATGCCTAACTGTTGTAATAGTCCTTATATTTAACAATTATTCGCCAAGGCGAGGCGATTATCGGTGAATAAAAACTGAGACGAAGTCGAGGTTTTTATTCACGATAATCACAAAGCCTGAGGTGAATAATTGTTTTAGTATAATTTCATAGGTGATTATTTGGAAAAAAAATTTAAAATGCACATTTCTTCGTCTTTCAATCAACAAAACGGCTTCGGCCACCATTTTGAAAATCGCTTAGGTGATTATCGCGTAATAATCACCTCAACGGTAACCAATCAGCGTGGAGAATTTTCAATAATCACCTATGTAATTATACTAATATAAATTAATATCACGTTATGCTTTTTATTTGTCTACGAATATTTGTCCATCAGACAAACTATTCTCCGACGGTAGACATGTTTGTCCATCGGATCAATCGGACTCCGATCGCGGATATTGGACATCAATCCGATTGTCCGATTGAATATTCGGGCTGTATGATATATCTGTATCATACTTCATGAAGTCCGAATCATTCCATCTTGAACAACATGCGTCAGTGTATTATAAATGTGTAATGTGTTATTGTATATTTGTAGACAATTCAGTTTCTGATAATACAGAATACAAACAACAAGAGAAAAACAACATTGAAGAGCAAAGCTCTCATTAAGTTGGCTTTCATGCAGATTTAAACAATTTAAGCACATCACTGTCAGTGCTTTCCTTTTCTTACGGACCTCTGGCATTTCAGACTCCCAATAGTCTGTATTGTGCTTCGTGTACTGAGGCTTATTTCTCTCATAGTTGTGTAAAGCCCATTGCCTTGCTTCGATCCTCAAAACATCTGCTGCTGCATTCCAATTGTTAGATTTCTGCAAGACAGTAGTCCGAGCAAAATCATTGTCAAGCCCTTGACCAGTAAATATTTTAAGGGACTTATATTTTGTAAGGAAGTAGGGGGCATGGTATACCATAGCATGCATGTACGGTGTTACATTGCTGCAGGCATAACCTTTATGGTCATTTCTAAGAGGATTGAATTCCTTAATCCAAGCCTTTGCACTCTCAAAAAATCCGGAAATATTCTCATCTGTTGGCTTTAAACAGGTAATTGTTCCGTATAATTTTCTGAAATTTTCCCATAAACTTTCCACTCTTTCACTGGTGTTCTCACGAATCACTTCAGAAGTAAGTTTGGGTGGTAGTTCTTGCAACAACTTTTTTCTATCATTCCCCAACAAACTTGTAAAGTCATATGATCCAGACACATGAATGGTGAGAAGTTGCTGACTTCATACCCAACATGATCAATATATACTTGTAGTCCCCCCCCAAGGAACAATTCAATAGTAAGCTTTTTGGTTCTGTTTAGGGCATTTATTTCATCAAAAATATTTTTGAATGATTCTTTCAAGGTTTCATATTTTTCTGCTCCCTTCACAACAGCTATTGTATGATTTCCCCTTGCAGACATCACATCATCTGTTTTCTGCAACAATGTGAAGGAAAAGATTACAAAGTTGTAAGAGTTTGTCATTTTTGCACCGTCTCCTGAAATTTTAATCCTAATGGATTCATTGTCATCAAAGGTGGGGTTTGAGTCAATAAAAGATTTCACTCTCTCTTCAAGAAGAGAATTGAATGAAAATTGGGCTCCATCTACCCTGCCAGGGGTGGAAGTAATTGAGCACAGATTATTTAAGTCATCTCGTTTCTGTTTGACCTTGGAAGATCTAAGCCAGGTGACATAGACAGCTCATGAATAAAGCTGTCGCCAACTCCAAACTTATCCCATCAGGAACAATGTCCTTTCAACTTTCGCTTTGTCCTTTTCGGATAAATTTTCATATTGGTTTCCTTCAGGATTACTTGATAACTGTTCGTTTGTTGTTGACACTTTTATGTTATGCTCAATGTTGGTGCTAGTTTCCCTAACAACCATTGACTCCACTTCTAATCCAAATGACTTCGAGAACCAGAGAGCAGTCTGAGCTCTGGATAAATATGATTTTAATGTTCTACTTTTGTTAGAAACATCAGAAACATTCTTGCCTTTGTATATCAGATTCCCATCATGTACTTCTTTTTCCAACTGTTTGGCATAAATTAGCAGTTGCTTGTTACATTATTTGTTGTATTTCCACACCTTTTTCCCAATTCCACATTCACTTCATTATATAACTTTTCCAGCTCATCTTCCAGGATAGCATATTTTTTCCTCCATTCCAATAATTCATCTCGTAGGACCTTATTTTCTTCTTTAATATCTCCTACTGATGTAATATATTCCTCAAATACATGGAAATGCTTATTTTGGTGATCCAGTTGTAACCTTTGACTTCCCTTAGTGCGTTTGTGAGAATCCCTTACAGCCAAAACATGTTTCCGTAAAGATTCTTCAATGTCCTGCCTTATTTTTACATCTCTAACTAACGAGAATGCACCACTAGGAATACAGCTTTCAAACAGATCACAATAGCTCAACTTTTCACTTTCAGTGCCACTTTGCCCACTTATACCCACTTCAGCTGAGCCTAAGCTAGAAGTTTCGGTTGTAGATTTTGTACCATTTATTACTTCATACCTCTCTCCTCCGCAGAGGCTTTAATTGGGATATGAAGGCGCGAAGCCTCTGCACGTTGCCACACCCAATATGGCGGTAAACCGGGGGGGGGGGCTACGAAATAAGAAAGTGTTATGTTCAGTCTACATTTTTTCTAGACAAGGTCTCCATCTACAATATAACTGGAAAACAATGCATGAAAACAACGTATTTAGCGAACAGGTTTTGGTTGCAAGCGAAGAAACTTTTATTTAAATTTATATTCCCCCCCCCCCGGAATATTACTTCGGAATATTACTAATTTTGTGATGCTCTTTCAAGCTGTGATAACATTTTTGTCTAGACTTGTGTAGATCAAAATTTTGTTCATTAGGGAATAGGTCCATTATATCCATTACTGATAATATTCAAAAGGCTTTTGAAGATGGTAAGTTCTCTTGTGGTATATTTTGGATTTGAGTAGGGCCTTTGACTCAGTTAAATGCAAGTGAAAGATTGCAATTTGTTTACATGAGAAGTCTCGAGTCAGATTCCCTGCATGTTTCATGTGGAGTTCCACAAGGCTCAGTTCTTGGGCCATTGTTATTCCTACTTTACATCGATGATTTTTATTGTTCTTCGGATATACTTGATTTTCATATTTTTGCTGATTCAACTCTTTTCTATGCTAATAAAAGTCTATTTCAGTTTGAATCAATTGTTAATAATGAACTTAACCATATCCATGAGTGGCTTTGTGCCAATAAGTTATCATTAAATATAGTTATCACCAAATTTAGTTTTGTTTTTCATCTGCCCGAAAAAGTCCTTCCTTTTACCATAAAATTAATATTAAAAGATCAGAGTATTAAATAAACAGATAACATAAAATATTTAGGTGTGATGATACATTCCCATCTTAATTGGAAAGCACAGACATTATTTGTTAGTATACTTATAAATCTGTATTATGCATTAATATATCCATTCTTAATATATGGACGGACAGTCTGGGGCAACACTTCCCTTGACTATTGAACCTCTATTTCTTCAGAAAAAAGTCACCTGACTTATGAGAACGTATTGAAGGAGTGATGTCCATGTAAAGTACTATAAATTATCGAATTCTGTCACATCTGCGAAACTAAAAAGTTGTTTAACTCTTTATTGACAAGCAACATTTTGATGATTTTACAACTCAACTGTTGTTTATAACGTAAATATCTTGGTGCGTATTCACTTTAAAACAAAGAATACCATTGAAATCCTAATAAAATAACCTTTTCAGCGGGGGCTCGAATGCCGTCAAAGCATTAGACAAACCGAAACAATCATATATTTACTCACCACTTGGCCAAACATTTGGAGTTTCATTTCCACAATAGCGTAAATAACTTGTGAATTCTTCAGAGTTCGCCACAAATCAATATGAGTGAAATATTCCTTGTATTTAAGTGTTTTTATATCCAAAATTTCATTTGAATACAGCCCAGTAGAAATGTTTATTTTGAGTTTTTAAAAATATCTGGTTTTTCTTGGTTTTTCTCGCACATGCGTGCCACACACTAAAATTGGCGAATAAGAAGTACCCGTAGCCCGATGCACGTGCAAATCATGCTGCAGATGTAGCGTACCGACGTTTCCCGAACGCTAGGATGTAAACACACAATGTTTTGGCAAATTGCATTTCCGGTCAAAAAATATCCCGCTGACTTCACTAATATCACAACAGATTGAAACACTGTATATCTTCACTAATATCACAACAGAAGGAAATTACAATCCTCAAAATAACACTGTAAATAGTGTTTTTGATTGTGAATCGAACAAGACTACAACAAAAAAGACATTTTCGAAGGGGCTGAAGTTGTGTCCGGCAAAGGGTATGGATGGCTTTAGTGATACATTGTTTACATTTTTCGAACAAATATGTAATTTGTTGAAATATGATACGTCTCGACCCTTCAAAGGTCATAAATCGCAATAATGTTTATCTTTGACTAAAACTATCACTAGGAATCAGGAAATATTATTTCGCTGAATCAAATGGTGGTATTTTCATCTACGTAGCATGTACTGGTACTGTACTGAACCGAAGATATGAATCTCCAAAATACTATTGCAGTTCTGCAATAGTTTTCACAGGGCCGGTCGAAAAGGAGTTAAAATCGCCATCTAGGAACATTTTTCGCTATTTAATAATAATAATAATACGAATTATTTATATAGTGCCAATTCCCTAAAGTCCATTTACAAGATATGTAACCTAACTAAGAACTAAGAGGAGATCTTACAAACGGTTAGTATATTCTCTTTTTATTCTAGGCAGCACAACTTGAAAGCTACACCTTTTTTATAAGAACCAGTGAAATTTTGTCCAGCTTGAGTTTCTTGTTTTTGAACTTTTTATGTAAAAGGCTTCAATTTCACTATTTGTGAGCCATTTCAACCTCATCAGTTCTTGCTAGCTAGCTTAATTTGTTCTTATAAAAAGGTGTAGAATGTTAAATGCATGCCCATAGGGTATCATGTCTTTATATTCATTGAATAAGGTTCCCCACCCACTTTTGGCTTTTATTTAATACCATAATCTCTATTAAGCCATTTAAGGCCCCCTCCTTCAAACCACGTCCCTTTGATGAGTAAGACAGAAAATAATAACATGGGATCTTTATGGATGAACAAAGAGTTATGGCAGATGATATCCAATGTCAAATAACATCATATAATGTAGTATACTGGAGTAATCACTGAACACATGCCATAAAAATGCCCTCGGTTTTCAAAAATATGCCACTGTGTGATATACAGTAGGTGTGATGTAGGAACTAACTGGGAATGGGGTAGCAGGCCCATATTATGGCGGCCAGTTGCAAGATTGTCAAGGCTTTAATGAAGGTAGATATTAAGGGGCAGTGTCACCGTTTGTGCATCAGAAATGGTTGGAAATCACTTGGACACTATAGTGATGGCTGATGTTAATGTGCAAGTGTTACCAACTGCACATCACCGTAGTTTGGCAGTAGTTTTACAAGTTTGTTGATCCAAGATGTCAATTTACTAAGCTTAATATCTGCCATCACCCCTTGGCATAAGACAATAGCAGCCTAGTATCCAAGTGAGTTCTTCAACTATGGTTTATAGTCTGTTTTCATTCCTATCTAGTTGTTTAAATAAAATAATATTAATAAAAGCAACTGTTCTATAGCTTTTAATTGGTGTTTGACCTTAAACTTGCTGTGAAAAATACTAGATTTAATTAGTTTTGAGGAAATTGTAAAATAAGATGTACTAATTAGTTAAATATTTAGATTTTAAATGATTGTGAAAAGAAGATTTTACCTGCAAGTGACAAAATGGGTTACTACTAGCACAGATGAGAATATCTCTTTCTGTGTCAGTAGTGTCACAAATAATATATGTATTCATACTTTTCCTGCAGTAGGCTAATTCTCAGCAATTGTCATGTCAGTTTTTTCTCTGTGGTTTTGTTGACCTTCTCTGATGAGCGATTTTTAAACAAGGTGCTTTCTTAGCTTTAAGGGGAGGGTACATATGAAAACATGGCCTGTGTTTAAACAGCTATAAAATTGAAGTTATTAAATTTAGGTATGACAAATAGGTATCTGAAAGCTTATAACCTATAGATTACAATAAAATGGACAGGTTTACACAAAAGCTATTTGTAACCTGACACCGGCCAGGAAACCGCACCTCATGCTGTGCTAAAAAGGGTCATGAATGAGAAATGATATCTAGTTGTAAATGGCCAGGTTTTTGGATGTGAATATCTTTTTAAGTGTAGGTATCACAGTCTTAAGTGAGCATACAACTAATTTAAATAATGATTAATGTGCACCAGGAATTTTATCCGACAGGACAGAAACGATGTTGCTTTTCCCTGTCTTCAGATTTTACACAGTAATGTAAAATTGCAATGATGTTTTTCTTCATTGTATATACAGCAACTGAAACATCCTTTTCAGTTGGATTAGCACCAGACAAGGTATTTTGCCTGATTGCTAATCCATAATACCGTTGAATTTGCTTTATCTTCTCTTCAGTGAGTTGACCGCATCCTCCAATGGTCTTTCCATCTTCAAGTTTTCCTTTTGTGGTTGCTTTCAAGTTCATTAAGTGCTTCCCCATACGTTTCTGGACATGGCCAACACAATCCATCTGTTCTACTTTAATTCCATCATAAATGTCCTCCACAGCACTGAAAGCCTTGCTGTCACCATCGGAAACCATCCACCTGTATCTAATGTTATGGCAGGTAAGAGATCTTCTCCACAAAATTTCAGCACCTTCCTTTTCCATAGCAGGAGAACTGCCACTAAAATTGATGTCACATTCTCCAGAGAAGACATGCTCTATTTCCCCTTCTTCAAATTCGTCATCCGTTTTGCACTTAGCTTTTTTCAAGCTACATTTCTGGCACGATTTGGAAATGTGATAGTCAAGTACTTCCCCAGTATCCACAGATATCACAAATACAATTCCAGTGAGAGATGTGAAGCCACGTTTTGCCCAAGTGCCATCAAAACTAACAGCAGCATCTATAGCTGAGGTCTTGTCTCCACAACCGCTTTCCTTTATAATTTGTTCTCTGAGTCGTTCTGCAGCCTGTTTCATCTCTTCTCTAGCTTCAGCCTCAAGAGCATTTAAAATTGTTTCTAAATTTTGATAGTAGGAAGTTTTGCTCATACATGGCATATTCACGATGTTGCAGAAAGATTCAAGACTTTCGTATCCACCACCCGTCTCTATCGAATAGTACACTGCACATCGGTTTATATCAGCAGACCTTCCTTTCCACCCACAAAGAAGGATGTCTCCAAAGAGGGTCACAGTTAAATCAGATTGAAGACCACCTCTTTTTCCATCCGGATGTTCTTGAATAATCAAGCTGCCTACAAATAGAAAACCATTCTCTCAAAAGGCTGATCACATGCTATTGTTTATTTATATCCCACGAGAAAGTTTTCGCAAATCTATATTATACACATACATGTGCATGACTCTCTACATATATAAACATATAGTATATTCAAAGATAGGAAACTATAACATAACATAACACAAGCACAAAACCTACAACAAATTCTGACCTTCATTGCAAACATGTGCTTCTGAAATGGATGATGCCAGTTTCTTAATGTTTATAAGGCGATACGATAACCTTGGTCAGAATATTCTTCATTTTCAAAAGCACCCTCTGAAGTCGATTCTTGAAGAAATTCACATTGATTTAACTTCCTTCTTGATGTGCTAGAAGGTGGGTTTGAGGTCGACATGTGTTCCTGTGATGTGCTTGCTGGTGAGTCAAAATCATCAAAATCATATTTTTATACCTTTGCTTTCCAGAGAAAGGTTTGCCTTTTCTCTTTTTCCTGTAAATGTTTTTAACCTTTTTCCCAGCCATAATCGAACAAAAGAGAAACAAGGAATCACAGAATAGGATGAATTGCAATTCTAAAGTATGATGTCTTGTAGAATATTCGTTTTACAATGGCTGACAAAAAAATAGGTATGCAGCGTGTACATGTGACTATTGCTGTTTGGATAACTATGGAGATTGATATTACGATTGATATAACTACGGAGGTTAATATTTTTAATACATCTGTAGATTATAGATGTTAAAGCCATGGTAACACATATCTGCCTGACTAAAATCAGCGCAAACAGTTTGGTGCGAATTGATTATTTCATAAATTATGGGGCCTGGATTTTCTTTGACATCATTCGAAAGACGGATAAGTAATGATACTTCCATCGAGTACACATGATGACAAAAATCTTGTTTAATTTATTAGAACCCTGGGACGAGGCCCTGTGGGACGAGACCATGTGAGACAAGACCACATGAGATGAGACCACGTGAGACGAGGGCCTGTAAGACGAGGGCCTGTAGGACGAGGCCCAATGAGTTTCAAAAATATATACAGGAAGTGGGCCCAAGCTTCCATCGAAATATAATTTTCTAGATCTAAAAATAAAAAAGAGTGATATTAGACTGATATTAGTTAACCTGTACCGAAGAATGAGAACAAACGAACATGCATACTATGTAAATTGATTTCATTGAAATCGCGAAAGCTGATTACGAATAGACCAAAGTGACGAACAAGTGACGAATTAGTTTGAGCCTGGTATGGAGGATACTCATTACAACCCATATGTTACAACCTACTGATAAATGGGCATGTCTTGTTACACTTTGTCAAGTCCAAACTCAAATTTCTTGCGACTTTTTCTGTCACCGTTTATAGGGCTAACCTCTGTGACATTTGTAGTACTCCATATCATCATTATTAATTGTCATTGGTCGTCAGGACTCTATGACTATGGTCATGCATAAGGAGCTACAAATTAAACATGCTTAAACAATGTTTCCCACTCGAATAAACTCAAATGATTCTTATGTGTGCCAAATATTCATACATTCTGCTGCCAAACAACTATTGAACATATCATAAATGAAAATATCATCTCGGTCTACGTATCGTAACAAACAGGAAAATATTAAAATGTTGTTTTAATTCGACAGCACTTTTATTGTTTGAAACTCCCTTAAGTTAAGGATAAAGAACACATAACATAACAACACACACGATGCAGACTGTCTAGACTGTATACAATAGAAGCCCAAATTGCTTCAATTAATCACTAATGCATGCACATACGAAATTGATTTAGTTTATTTTCATATTCGTGCAAATTGCTTCATAAGAATAGAAATATTTTTAAATAGCGCCCATTCAGCCATTAAGCGTCAATACAGGATGGGGTCTTTTGAAAGGTAAAGTAATGCTGGTGAAGCAGTTCTCCATTTAGGCTCAGTATCCATTGCAGGATATACTGATTTTACTGCCTATATTATATATAGTTAGCAAGGTTCACATTATTTTGATTTATTTCACATTCAATAAATTTCATCAATTTTTTGCTGTACGCCACTGGCACTGTTCCCTGTACGTACATATGGTGCAGTAATTTATATCAGGAATACAAACTGCTAATCACAAAGAATTATAACACTACAATGGCTCAACTAAAGAAACAAATATGACATATAAACTTGTCTCAACCGATAGAAAGTGTTGAGTTGAACAAATGTAAATGGTACAGTCGTTCAGTTAATGAGGCTATTTGTTCGTTCTTGTGCTACGGTGCAAGTTAACTATTTAATTAAACTACAAGAAACTTGGGCAAAACATAAACAACTCAACATGAAATTTATTATAATTATCATATCATAAATTTTAATTATACACAATACTTTTGCAAATATGTCTTACATATTAATATCAGTAAAGTCTTCTTAAATTACTAGCCTGCAAGCTTAAGAGTCACTCGACAATCAGGTGTGTTATTAGTGAACATAATAAACTAATGCACTACACCAACAAACACGAATATGATATCAATCATCATAAAAACTAACAACGTTTCACTTATAATTATATAACACTGAACAACAGTTCACTCATCATAATTTGATAATTATATAACAACAACACGGTTCACTTTTTTGACCTTACTCTAAGTTTCATACTTAAAAGGTGCACACGGTCACAATATTATCACTTTCAAATACAAGTCTAATGTTTTCCAATTCTAATAGCTTTTCGCTTATTTCGTCTTCTGTTAGAGCAATCACATTAGTAGACTTCAAATTTTTTTGAAGGACATCGGCAAATATTGTTAACACCGGTGTTTCATCATTTTCATCAGCATCAATTGCTTCAACATAAACTCGACATGCAATCTCCATTTTGCAGTCCACAAAGCGCATACGATGAGGACATCTTGTGCATTTTACAATTTTAGCTTGCAGACCTGATACTAGTTTCTTTTTACAATGTACACAACTATGATATTTGTTGACTTCCACTGACCTGAAGGATTTTACCTCTAATACATTTTGCTTCCTGTCGTTTAACATTTCTGTTGCCAATGCGTGGAAGAAATCGTGCTCTGTATTGTGGAAAGTGTCTTGTTCTGGTCGTTCTGTCGCACACTGACGTTACTGAATATATATACTTTTCTATCTTCGATGTCGTCGATTTCATTTTCCCACAATGTAAAGAATATAGTACTTGAACCTTCGCTTATAGTGCTTTTCAACATTCACAGATTCTTGCTGCCAACTTTCTTGACTGCCTCTCCTTTTTTGACTACGCTTTTAACGCGGACCTTGCTGCCAGCTTCGATTTTCTCTTCTATGTCTTTTAATGTGACAATATCAGGTTCAGCGTCAGGAATGTATTGAAAGTTGTATTGCGCGGTTTTGCTGCTGTTATAACAGTGATGTTGTTCATCCGAATTTCCTCTTATGAACTTTTCCAACCTGGTCCAGTCACATAATTTGATATCTGGGCAGCAGGAAGGCTTTTCTCTGCTAGAATGTCGTATTTTGCTTTGGAAAAGCAAACGACTCATTTTCTTTCCTTTTCCATTTGTAGTTGGAACTCAATATAACATAATACTTTCTTTCCCTTCCGTAGAGTTGAAAGTTTGTGAATGTAACCGATAACTGGATTCTTCATGCTTCTTGAAGTCATACTGCAGTGAAAAATATCATCTTATTTGGTCTTTTATACCCTAGCATGTTTCACCACTAGCAAATATCCGTCAAGCTATTGGTTATCAAAATATGCCTCAACCTACTAAGTGCCGGTATTCAGTAAACCTATTGTTTCCCTTTATGTTGTGGGGTCTCAACTGCATGAGAGCGTATAACTTTAACACAAAGAAACACTATATTTGGCTTCATGATTGTGAGGAACATACAATATAAGCATTCGACAGAAAGAAAAGAAATGTAATGAGGTGTGAGACGTAGCTCATCAACACATACAGATTAAAACCTAAACCAAGGCATTTCAATTAAACACAATATAAACTTTGACGAATTTCAGCTAATTATCTTTTGTCTTTAATGCATCAACACGGCAGTAGCGTGACGTTTGAAACAGGCCTTATTTCCATGTTGTAACCCATCATATATCACTATGTATGTGCATTATCGATGTGCAGTGGAGAGAATAATGATCCAAACAATAAAGCATTTTACTCGAAAATTACCCAACACAATGGTGCAAAGTATTACCGATATTAATATAAATTCCTGACATAAAACTCCAAAGAACAAATGCAATGTTAGATATAACATTATATTTTTATACACATACTATAGTTGGCTAAAGTGTATGTAAGTAATAATAAAATATAGCAATGTAATATCTAATATAAGCATCCTACACCGAATGACACCCAGCGACCATCATACACCATCTGTACCATCTTCACCACCTGACAGCTCTAGCTTCCCTGTATAACCACACTACACCATCATACACCATCGGACAACCATCTGACAAACTTCGACCATCATACACCACCATACACCATCTGACAACCATCTGACACATTTCGACCATCATATACCATCTGACAACCATCCAACACATTTCGACCATCATACACCATCTTCACCATCTGACAACCCTTCCCTGTATAACCACCTACACCATCATACACCATCTGAAAACCATCTGACACACTTCGACCATCATACACCATCTGACAACCATCTGACATACTTCGACCATCATACACCATCTGTACCATCTTCACCATCTGACAACCCTTCGCTGTATAACCACCCTACACCATCATACACCATCTGAAAACCATCTGACACACTTCGACCATCATACACCATCATACACCATCTGACAACCATCTGACATACATCGACCATCATACACCATCTGTACCATCTTCACCATCTAACAACCCTTCTCTGTATAACCACCCTACACCATCATACACCATCTGACAACCAATCGACACACTTCGACCATCATACACCATCATACACCATCTGACAATCATCTGACACATTTCGACCATCATACACCATCATACACCATCTGACAACCATCTGACACACTTCCACCATCATACACCACCGTACACCATCTTCATCATCAGACATCAGATGCCTGTTTTAGACATTACTCGTGACGTGAGGCAACACACTTTTGAAATTTTGAAGAATTGATCTAACAATCAAAACACGATGGTATTCGTGGCATTCGTACTCTCGTACGTGATCGAAATTTGGATATAACATGCACGAGTGAGTTTTTCGTGCACGTTTATCCAACTTCACGAGAAACCAATGCAATAGTATAACTACTTATAAGAGGTTTCTGCATGCATGTATTTTTAGTTTTTTCTACTGCATGTTATTCATGGCTCTCGGTTTAACATCACTTCTTGTCTGATCCTTTGTTCGTGTTCCTTTCAGATCTCTTGCATACTTTCTGGGTTATCTGCTTTTTTAATAGAACGCAGTTATTACGAGCAGCGGATATTACGAGTTAATTTTAGAAAACATTGTTCATTGCCACCGGCATCTTTGTTCATGTTCCCAGCAGTTGGGTTCGATCCGCTGACCTGTGGCGTTCTTTATATGCATGCAGCCTCACGAAAATTGCATTTTTCGTCAACAAAACCATATAGCTATCATAGCATATTAAACGATAAGTTATAGCAAACAATATTAACGCCGAGGCAACACACTTTTGAAATTTTGATGACTTAATCTAACAATCGAAACACGATGGCATTTGTGGAATTTCACCCGTACGTGATCGAACTCATCAAAAATTCAAAAGTGTGTAGATGATCATTTAATATATCTCTCCTCTCAAAACAATTATCCAATAGAGTTGAAGAAGATTTTAAAAAACCAAGTACAGTACCTTAACAGGGTTTAAAAACTGTATGCAAAATTACCTAGCAATTGGAATCATATTGTCCATAATCATTGGAATATTTCTTCCTCAACATGCTGCGAAAGAATCACAAAAATTTGCATCATTGTTCTCTTTCACAATTGGGTTACGGCTACGTCTTGTGGAAGCAAAGTCCGCAGTCAAAATTTATAAAGATTGACCGTATTTCCACGAGAATGTGTATAGGAGATGAGTCCCTTAGCTTCTATTCACCTTCTCTTCATATCAATCTCGGGCACATTTTTGTCCGCTCCCATAAATTTTTCCGCACGTAGACCTACGGTCATCCCCCGAAAACATTCCAAATGGCAGGCTTGTTTCAGTCCTTTAGTTACTATTTTTTACTAGTAACTGGAAGAACTGAAATTGGAAAAATTCCATTTATCTCATCATGATAGAAAAAGTAGACTGCATGTAGCTTCATAATGTGTGGTGAAGACGAGAACCAATGTGAATTTTTGCAAATTATAAAGATACATTTCGAAGGTCGACTGAGCTGATTAATCAATCCACCATGGAGAAAAGATGTTGCCGCTAGGACTTTTTGGACCAAAATGATCGAGATTGCTCAAAAATATTGGCATTTGTGTTCGCTCAAATAGCACTTGTTTTTATACTGATGAACTCAAAGGCATGACTTTAGGAAAGGGTTTAAATTTGAGCCGAGTAGACTAGAGTGTAACCTATGTGTGTAAGTCAACCGTATGCTCCGACAAAATTTTGTCCTAAATCTTGAAAAGCACAGTAATTTCCCCCCACAAACAGCTTACGCATATACGCTTTTCGCCCGCGCGCCGATCTCCTGCCTTAACTGTCTCGCCCGCAAGTCTTCCCCTAAAAAAACAGCTTCTACGCAGGTAAACGTAAACAGCTCTTGTGATCGGTGCCTGACGTGCATGACAACAACTACACTGTTGAGAAGGCTAGCGTCTTTAATTCAATAAAGTTTACCATACCACGCACAGCGGGCTTGGAATATGATAAATAAAACCCATTAAAGTCAGAAAGTACAGAAATAAAAGTCATTAAATAAGATTTAAGAGGTTAGAAAGTTATACTTCGTCTATAAAATTTGGCCCATTTTGCCTGCATTAGTAACACGTTTGTGCGTAAATAGACACATTAATTATTACATTTACAACTTTTATACTCCCGACTAAACGCTCAATAGCGCGTCTGTTTATTAAATTATTTTGTACTGCCTGTTATCCATGGATTTCTGTTTGACCTCACTTTTTGACTCATCTCTGTTCGTGTTTCTTTCATATCTTCTATATATACTTTCTGGGTTATCTGCTTTTTTTAATAAAACGCAGTGTGTATAATTGCGGACATTACGAGTTAATTTTAGAAAACATTGTTCATTGCCACCTGCATCTTTGTTCATGTTCCCAGCAGTTGGGCTTCGATCCGTTGACCTGTGGCGATCTTTATATGCATGCAGCCTCACGAAAATTGCATTTTTCGTCAACAAAACCATATAGCTATCATAGCATATTAAACGATAAGTTATAGCAAACAATATTAACGCCGAGGCAACACACTTTTGAAATTTTGATGACCTAATCTAACAATCGAAACACGATGGCATTTGTGGAATTTCACCCGTACGTGATCGAACTCATCAAAAATTCAAAAGTGTGTAGATGATCATTTAATATATCTCTCCTCTCAAAACAATTATCCAATAGAGTTGAAGAAGATTTTAAAAAACCAAGTACAGTACCTTAACAGGGTTTAAAAACTGTATGCAAAATTACCTAGCAATTGGAATCATATTGTCCATAATCATTGGAATATTTCTTCCTCAACATGCCGTCTATCTCTGCGAAAGAATCACAAAAATTTGCATCATTGTTCTCTTTCACAATTGGGTTACGGCTACGTCTTGTGGAAGCAAAGTCCGCAGTCAAAATTTATAAAGATTGACCGTATTTCCACGAGAAGTGTATAGGAGATGAGTCCCTTAGCTTCTATTCACCTTCTCTTCATATCAATCTCGGGCACATTTTTGTCCGCTCCCATAAATTTTTCCGCACGTAGA